AAGTCCTGAATCTATAAAATGTATTGAACTGCTCACCCAGTCACATATAAGCCTGTAAGCTAGATTTGAGTCCAGTAGCACCTTAGCAACCAAGAAGATTTTTGGGGTACAAGTTTCTGAGAGTCAAAGCTCCTTTAGCTTTGTGGACTTTGCTGAGCAGGGCTTTCCCACTTTCTCTTCTGCTGCGCGGCGGGGGATCCGCACGTCTTCACAGGATCCATGCCGCGGGGGACAGCGATACGCGTTGCACCGCCGTCGCCAGGATGTGACGCTATGCGTCGCTCTGGCAACGGGACTCCAAACAGCCTAGCGACGGCGGTGCAACGCGTATCGCTGTCCCCCACGGCAGGGATCCTGTGAAGACATGTGGATCCCCCGCAGTGGCTCGGCAGCCCTAGCTGCAACCCACTGAGCTCCTTGATATCTTGTTTGTAAGGGTCTGCATAGGAATAGTGTAGGAGTTTCCACAAATGGATCCTGTTGCAGGAATGTATTCTCGAATACATGCTGGTGGGTTCTTTAGAAGTGTACAGTAGAAGGAGGAATGTACACCTTTACTGAAGTAAGGTAGAAGACATAATTAAAAAGGGAATAAACATTTAAAATGGAATGACTACTCTTCACAATACTGATCTCACATTCTTCATCTCATCTGATAATTTTAGTGGGGGAATCAGGAGAAGGAAATAAATCCAATTTCCAGTAGCTTTGTTGGAAACCCAGTGCAAGATACTCATTGTCGTTCATGTATGGGAAGTCTCCATGAAAAGCCATGGGTCTCCAATTGGGCTTATTTAGCTTTGTTACTTCCCATACATTAGAAAGATATACAGAAACATCTTTAACCCAGCAAACACTTTCAGTATCATATGTATGCTTAAATCATCCACCCAAACCCTGCACAAGCAACCCTTATTAGCCTGTGCTCTTCCTTCTGTTCCTCTGTTGTCTTGTCCACTGCTGAAATTTAGACTGTAAGCTCCATGGCTCTATCCCTTGTCCAGTCTTCTCACATTAATCTGGAAAGCACCATATACATGGATGGTGATGCACCCTGGGGCAAAATGCAGAGCTGCAGTGGCAGAATCATTCTTCTAGCAACAAAATGCACCTCTTCATGACTGCTATTTTAAATTAGTCAAAATGACATCCAAATGATCTTTTCAGCCTGAGAAACATGCTGCTTTGGTGGCAGGAGAAGAGGAGCGGCTGGTGCAATTTGCCATTCATCTGTTCACTTGTTAGCAATCACCAAAAGTAAGCAGGCCCAATGGCAAATTATTCTTCTGGTCCCATAATATAGTAGTCTTTTAACATCCAGACAGTTTACAAGTCCCTACGGAGCCACCTTTTTTTTTTTTTTTGCTCATTTTGGGAGGGCACACTGCTAGTGTGCACAGCAGCCAGGATAGTGAGGCCACTCAGTGATGGAAAGCATTTCTCCATGGCTCTGATCCTTTAGGTAAAGGTAAAGGTTCCCTTGCTTGAAAGCCAGTCGAGTTCGACTCTAGGGTTGCAGTGCTCATCTCCGTTTCAAAGCCGAAGAGCTAGCGCTGTCCGAAGGCGTTTCCATGGTCATGTGGCCGGTATGACTAAACACCAAGGCACACGGAACGCTGTTACCTTCCCACCGAAGTGGTACCTATTTATCTACTTGCAATTTCTTGCTTTCGAACTGCTAGGTTGGCAGGAGCTGGAACTAGAAACGGGAGCTCACTCCGTCATGCGGCAACTCGGGTCTCGAACTGCTGAACTACTGACCTTCCACAGCCTGCAGTTCAGCGTCTTAACCACTTGAGCCACCGCAGCTCCTGATCCTTTACTTGTTCCTTATTAGTGTACACCTCCTGGTGCTTGGCTTCCATTTCTTGTACACTACTCTCTTGATGTGTCGCTCCCCCAGGCCTTGACACCAGTGAAATTGTTACCCTGGTTCCTCTGGTCACAGGCAGTGACTAGGGAGGCTCTCCATAGGCTGCCACCACTCTGGTACAGGCCTCCTTGGGAGGGCCCAGAGCACCCACCTTTATGTCCACTCTTTCCCAGTAGGGTGTACTTTATATGTGACCAAATGAGGTGTGAAGACCCAGGGTGATGCTGCACAATAGGTAGAATAAACAATTTTATTTAAGAGGTCTAGTAACAACTGGTTTTCAAATAGTTTGTAGAATAATGAGAACAGTAAAGGTAGGTAAGCAAACAAATAAAAGAACACTAACGCGTCCATCTAGACTGTCCCTAGATTATTGGCTTCAAGATGACTCACCCCTTCCTGGATAAGGGATCCCTCCCTGTCTGCAGCAGCTTTTCCTCAGCTCTGCTCCCTAGGAGTGAACACCCTCCCCTTCTGGGCAAGGCCAGTTTGGTATAGTGGTTAAGTGCACGGACTCTACTCTGGGAGAACCGGGTTTGATTCCCCACTCCTCCACTTGCACCTGGCTGGATGGCCTTGGGCAAGGCATAGTTCTGGCACAGCTGTTCTTGAAAAAGAGCAGTTTCTGTCAGAGCTCTCTCAGCCCCATCTACTTCACAGGGTGTCTGTTGTGGGGAGGGGAAGGGAAAGGAGTTTGAAAGCCGCTCTGAGACTCCTTTGGGTAGTGAAGGGCGGGGTATAAATCCAATCTCTTTTTCTCTTCTACTATTCCTTCTTCCCAGGCACCACCCCCTACTTATCTACTGGTGCAGGTTTTCCTTCCAAATCCCCTGCTAACCAATCACAGGGTCCAAAGCGGGCCTGGGAAATGTAGGCCCTATAGCCACTCTAGTACAGGCTTCCCCAAGGCCACTAGGTTTCACTACGCAGGCATAGGCTCATGACACCCCTGTTATGTAGCTGCATTATCACATGACTGATATCACATGATAGCAACTCAGTGGGTCCCATGCTGTCTCCTGGGGTTTAAAGGAATGTTTCTAGCTCTGTAAGTGCCGGAGATCACTGCCAGAGAAGTTATGACACCGAATCCTTAAAACTCCAGTTTAATTTGGTCACCAGATATTTAATGTTTCAGAGGGTAGCCGTGCTGGTCTGCCGTAATAATTATCATCATTGTTATTGTTGTTGTATGGCATTGTATGTAGTATAGCCAGGCTATCCGAAGATTGTCTGGCAGTGAGAAGTTCTAGCGTTATGCACCACTAGGTGGCAAGCAAGACTTGTTTTTAAGGCAAGAGACATTTCAAAGGGGGTTTTGCCATTGCCTCCCTCTGCATCACACCCCTGGTATTCCTTGGAGGTCCCCCATCCACATACTAGCCAGGGCTGACCCTGCTTAGTTCCTGAGATCAGGCTAGCCTGGGCTATCCACATCAGGGCTGGTCTGTGGTACAATTCGAGCCCAATAACACGTCGAGACTAACAAGAGTCGAAGCTCCCCTTGTCAAATACAAGATATTTAATGTGACCAAATTTAATGGAAACTCATTGTTATAGCAAATCACCATAACAGATAAGCACTTGTACTGCCATGGCCACACCCTTTTCTTTTTGTACAAGCCAGTGACAGTTCAACTATTTGTGAAGTTTAGTGTTAGAAATCAAAGTACTTTTTTTTTATTTTAATACATGTATGAACAGCTGTTGGGTTAAAAAAAAGTAGCTTAGGCAGCAACAAATATACTGTTAGTGAAAACAAACATCTGGCAGAACAAAACAGATGTAATAGGCAAACTAGGGGAAAAAATACACTACCTTTGAGGATACTATTCTGTTATCTGGATACCTTTGTGGAATGTATGCTTCAGTGCCTGGAGGGGGTTCACGATGCCCAATATATATAGTCCGATTATCCACCCAGTTCTCTTCTCCAGCACACTGTGAAGGAAAGAATGTGTCATTTCAGTTCATCCGGTAGCTCTGAAGGTATATGAGTCATACACTGAACAGGCTAGTTCTTTCTCTCATCATCAATACAGTCTTCATTCTCATATAGCTGTCAAAACTCCATCTCTCAAGTATCTACTTATCTGTTCTTGAGGAATACATAGGTGACACACAGGAGTTAGCTGTCGCAATCCTACACCTAACTGACTTCACTAAGCCCCTAAAGCAATAAAGACAAACCCACACAATTCAAACCACTTATCCTTTAAAACATGTTTCAATATACTTTGACCTCACATTACTTTAATTTTAAAATGCATAACCCATTTATCTAAATAATGATGGCAAATGCATTTTCTTGAGCATGTAGGCTGCAGTCCACATTGATAGAAAGAAAACACACACAATTGTTAAAGGGAAGAGATGGGACAGTGTTAATTAGGATTTAGACAGACTCTTCCATAGTGGTTTTAAATGTGAATAAAATGTGGCATATATACTGTCAATGAAACTTTGGAATTTAACTCTGCAAGAAAATATAAGAAATGTGTCTCTCCTGTTCTTTGGATGCAAAGGCAACATCTGAAGTACAGCTAATTCAACTTCCTCGCTGGTTTCTGTCTCAGAGCTGGGCCCCTTCTGCTCTTGTGTTTTTAATTTTCACCATCTATATATTTAGTTCTGAACTGCTAGGCAACTCCAGACAACATTGTCAAGGCTTCTATACCTAGATTAGTGTCAAGACACTGAGGTGGGAAGAGAGTCTGAAAAAGGTGAAAGAGCATATGAAGGTAAGGAAGGAAGGAAGCAGAGAAAGGGGGTGATGGAAGGCAAACCAGGGTGGAGTAGGAAAGGAGAGGTGGGTGGAGAGAAAAGGAAAGGGGAAAGGCTGTAATGGCTACCAAGTGAAGGGAAAGCTGAATACAAGAGTTGGGAAAACAGAACGTTAGGTGGGGGAGAGAAAGGGAGGAGGCAGTA